AGGAACCATCAACAATCAGCTCAATAGTGAGAATAATTACAAAGGATAATAAGAGATTCGTTGGACTATTATCAGATACTTTTTGACTCAACGATAGCAGACAAAGGATTCTCTATTAATCTCACCTTTAAATAAAGATTGGTAGTAACCAGATGAAAAAACTTTTGTACGGCAATAAAAGTTTAATCCATGGAAACTACTGAACACAGAGAATTTGAGGCGAGGATTACATGAAAACGAAGAAGGCACTGGCTGGCCTCTTTGGTTTGTTTGGATCCTTAGCAGCTGCTTTGCCACGTCCTGCTCCTTTAGCAGGCTTCTTGGTCACAGAGAGCCTATCACCACAAAAATGAAGTAACAAAACTCTTCAGAAAAACATACAACGACATGAACAGGAATCTAAATTCCAGAGATCTAACCAAAACAAATTCACAAATAGATCTAGCTGAGACTTACTTGGAGCTCCTGGTTTCAGTCTTTGATTTAGCTCCTTTCATAATTGATTCTGCGAACATATCACAAGATCAGCGAAGAAACTAAACAAATATACTACACATATCGCAAGCTGTAGAAAATTCAATTCTATACATAGAAGCGATAATTGAAAATTCATCATCTAAACAGATCGATACACATACAAAATCGAGATAGATGCTACAGAAACTAAGCAAGTCAAGCATAAATCACAAACATCCAGAACATGAAATTCAAATTTCGAAACGTTGAATTCAACATGAATAGCCAAAAACCATCACCAAAACAGATCGAACACACAAAATGGAGATGAATTCGAGATTCAAACAGCAAAATCAAACAAGAAAATTACCTTGGCGTGGAAAATCGTAGGGGTCGAGAAGAGAGAGAGAAGAAGAAAGAGTTTGTGATTGATCGCTTTGTGGGAGATTCAAGTGAGAGGCCAAGAGAGAAGAGAGAAGGGCTTAGTGGAGAAAGGCTTGTAAAATATCTTTGGTCAATCAATAAAGGATATTGAAAAAATTGAAATTTCGCACGAAATGTAAAATCTGAGGGGTTTAGGCGGGATTTCAAATATATTTTGCCAGGTCATCGATCCGTGTGGTTTCACCTTATTGGCTATTATCTTCTCAAGTTTTGATCCTTGGCCTTTGGTTATGTGTTTTCTCTTGTGCTTCTTCTCAGCGTGAGAATTCAGCGGCAAGCGATATGACTCATTGCCCTTATTTTGGTCCCTAAATAATTAATTTAAAATCATAGCAGTAATTACGGATATATTTATTCTCATTAATATATCAATCTCCTCGAGAATCCGGTTCGGTTTGCTGCGTCGGTCATCCGGTTTGATTTGGATTTATTAATTTTCTAGGGTTTGTGGTTTTAAAATGTTCGGTTTGGGAGAAACTGTTGGATATATATATATGATCTCCTTCATCGCCGCCATAAAGGAAAACATTTTGATATTTCAATCGTCCATCGATCTTCTTCTTGCTTCGCTTTGTAGTCTTTAGATGTTCAATTATATTCATTGTTCAATTAGATTAAGGTTTTTTTGATGTTTGTGTAGTGTTACTGCTTGAATTGATTACAGCTTTTTGAGTTAGGATTAGAACTTATGGTGCAAAGAGGGAGAGAGAGAGCAGATGATGGGATACACTTGATCTCTGAACTTCACAGGTAAGTTTGCTTGTTGATAACTACTGGTTTGCTGATGCTCTCTCTCACACACTATGCACCTGATTGAGGTTTTTATTGCTGTGATTATGTGTAGAAGAATTTGATGTGTAGTTTAAACATGAGGACAGAACAACTCGTATAATTAGAGTAAGGATTTATTTTATTATATATCAAGTTTATCATAATGCATTGGAACATGATATTTAGAAAATGCATCAAATATGTTTTTTGATGAAATGCCTGAGAGAAGAAACTGATATCCACCATTGTTGAAGTAGATGACACTTTATTTTAAATGTCAAAGTCTGTGGATTTTGAAGCATTTGTGAAGTCTCTTTGACTGATTCAAGGAATCTGGTAGTGAGAGAGGAACAAGTGAGAGCGATAATTCGGAGCCTAAAGCACCAATTAGCTTCATTTGGGAAATAGAAGCATCAAGCTGTCTTCTTGATCATTGAACTGACTTGGCAAGAACAGTGAGACGACACTGTCATATGTTTAGTTTTGAGGTTTGATCACTGAATTTGTACAATTATAGAACTTGTTATTCTTCTCCTTTTGCTAAGCTTCGAATCAAACCTATATTTCCATATTCATTCTTAGTTTTTGGTTGCTTAGCCTTTTTAACACCAGTTTCTCGATGAGTTATCTCTGCGTTTCATTCAAATTTCAAATGTTTTTTTAATCTACCCTTGTAATAGACATCAATGGTTCGACAAGTTGTATGATAAACCCGTGTTTGTTGATTTGGTTGGACTATTCTTCTGCGTCATTGCTGCTATTGTAAGAGATTCTGCTTGGGTTTATACTACATTGTCTTATACCATTGATTTTAATTTTTAGACTAAATACTTCAACAATGAGATTACTATTAGATCAGCATAAAGAAACGACCATTCTCCTTTAATTCACTTTACTTCTGTATTACCTAATCACTCAAGTTAAGCGTTGCGTTAATAAGTTGCTCCATTGGAAATACTGTACTTGAATACAAGGTGAAAATAAAGTGGTAGAGAAAAAGTAAGAAAGTATAGTAAAACCAACCATTTATTTATTAATTTTAAGACTATAGATCTCAAGGATTCGACAATATATGATTTATAACAGGAGGGTCAACTAGATATTTAACTTATTAATAATAATAGGGAGATTTGTAATTATCTAGTCATCAGCATCACACGGTTCACTTGTCGCACCTAGCCCTACCCATTTACCATCATCATTCAAATGCCTCTCATAGAACCGCGCTTTTGGTCTGTTGGCTTTTATGTCCATTCCGAATGTACGTACTGTTCGATACTTGTTGCCCTAAATAGAAAGAAAAGAGAAAGTAAAGTGGAATGAGAGGATTGAGCCAGAAAACATCAATGCATGCATGTGTGAGCTGAGTGATTTAATTTTCTTACAGGAATATCCAAAGGAACGAGAAAAAATGGAGGCTCCCTCATAAGATCCTCAACAATTTTCTGAATTGGCGGCAGTTCTGCATGTCCAGCAATCATAGCATTAAAGTTTTCTCTCAGACAATCATCCTGCATATAAGACCAAAAAGAGGGTTTGATTTTTCAGAAAATATTTGCCTTGAATAGATTAATTACCCCTAACAAATTTTTTTCTAGTATAATACCTTTTGAGAGTTGGAATCAAATCCGGTTTCAGAAATGGTATGAACACCATGAGCAACATCATCTACATGGAGTCTTTTTTCATGTATAGACCTTTTCCAGACATAAACCATTGATCCTGTATTTATGTCTGCTACAAGTAGTTTCAACCCAGGCCCAAAGGCTTCAACTTCCTCTTGGGGAAAGTCCTCTACAAATCGACGTGGAGTCTTTGCGCACTGCATAACCAAAGCAAATCCGATCCGGCCTTGAGATCCAAATAATTTAACAAAAATAAACTTTTAACTATAACATTGATTTATGTATTAGAAATACACTAATTATATATACCTCGAAGAAACTGGGCAGCAGGTCAAGGTGAATAAAATGCTGATGGCTATTGGAAAGATAAAAAACTCGGCCTTCTTTATAACCAAACCATACGTTGCCCCAATTCTCTTGCGTACCTCTTAAACCATAAGCTTCCGACCATTCCATAGGGTCGGGTGTGCTGTTAATCACACAGAAATTTAGATAAAATACGATTTTGATGCACAAACTAAACCCAAAAGGTCGAATAAATTAGACTTGCCTAGGTTCATAGCCTTCTGTGTTCACGAGGAGCACGAATGCGTCACCGCTCCATTGAAACACCACTGTGTCTGTGTCCATTCTTCTCTAGTCGGATTCGTTTAATTTTTTTCACTATTGGAATCTGTTTTTGATCTTGTTGTGACTTGTGAGTTGTGATCCCCTCTCTCTATTTATAGCCAAGAGATGATTCAACTGTGCTCTGCTTTTTCCTTTACTTGTCAACTTCTTCCAACGTAAGTTCCACGAAAGCGCTTAAGAGCATCTTTATCCATTTTTGGATATAGCTTTTGCTGTTTTCTGTCACCATCATACATACTCTCTCTTCCATTCACTAACCACCAGGAGCCGTGTCTATGTGATGCAATTTACTTTTACAGATTCATGTATGTTATGAAAAACCACGAAAAAAGTGGCTTCTAGTAGCATAAACTTGCTATACTAAGTAATATGGAAGTCACATTGTTTCAACACTTCTCCAATTGTTCCACTTTTGTTCTATAGCTTTTTTCGGATTGAGTAAGGAGAACTCTCTTGTCTATGTGGGAACCATTCAGAATTATTTTTACTATACTAAGAAAATACAACAAGTGGTTTACTAGTAGCACACAAGTTTAAAACTCAAATCCAACTACTCTTTGGTCTTGGCTTAGCTTTGGGGTAGTCCGATTCTATTGGCTCTAGCTAGTGCTGATTGAGTAAGGAGGATTCATTTGTATGTGGAACCACTTCGAAAATACTTTTACTAATCTGAGTAAAATTGAAACCAAGACGTTAAACAAAACACGTTGGAGATGAAGATGATGAGGTGGCAGTTTGTTGGTCGTGTGTTTTATTTTAATTTATTTAGGCATATATAGCCATTATTATTCGGTAACATTATAAGATCAAAATGTCACAATGCTAACGCATGACTTGAGATTCCAACATTTTAGTCATAACTCAAAGGACACACGGACACATTTGTCCAAATCACTAGTCCGGTACGGACCTGCTTTGCTTTGTAGTCTTTAGATGTTCAATTATATCCATTGTTCAATTAAATTAAGGTTTTTTGATGTTTGTGTAGTGTTATTGCTTGAATTGATTACAGTCTTTTTCTGAGTTAGGATTAGAACTTATGGTCCCAAAGAGATGGGAGAGAGAGCAGGTGATGGGATACACTTGATCTCTGAACTTCATAGGTAAGTTTTCTTGTTGATAACTTCTGGTATGCTGTGTCTAAGTGTATAAGAATCTCATGTGTAGTTTGAACATGAGGACAGAACAACTCGTATAATTAGAGGAATGATTGATTTTATTATATATGAAGTTAATCATAATGCACTGGAACATGATATTTAGAAAATGCATCAAATATGTTTGAATGAATTGCCTAAGAGAAACTTAAATCCACCTCCTCCGCCATTGTTGTAGATTACACTACATTTTAAAATTGATAGCAACGGAAATGACCGGATCCGTAAGTCCCTGTGAAGAAGCTTGGATTCGTCCTTTTTGTGAGGTCTCTTTGACTGGTTTAAGGAATCAGGTAGTGAGTGAGTGCGATGATTAATAATAATCAAACAATGAGATAGTTTACCTTGTTGGATCAATGACTTCCAAAAGTGTAGTTAGATAGGAGATGTGTTGGTCATCAGAAGCTACAATCACCTTTGTCTGCTCATCCTCCTCAATAGAGAAATAGGAGGGCGTAAACATATAGAAGTCTTCGGACCAACATTCGACTCCCCCCAAAACTCGCCAACTGTCAGCTTCCACATTATTCTCCAACACCACTAGACACTTGCCGTCATATGCAACTACGTTCCAATATTTAAACCTTGTTTTCTCCATTGATACATTCTTGATCTGCCTTTCGAGTGCCCACTTGTGATTCCCGAGCAGTGTGTAGATTGAGATTTCTTTTATCGTCCCTGATATCAAGGTCATGGGGTTGATCTTATCTTTTGCTGCGAAAAGCACCTTCGTGTCCGGTGTTGGATGGAAGCTACAAGGAATCAGTCGTGCTTGCTCTGTCTCGGGATTGAATGCTATGAGGCTCCAGTCGTTTCTCAACCAATGAAGATTGCCATCTACGTAAACAGGTTTTATCCGCGTCTTGAGACCACTTTTGGAGCTAGTCGTTAGGGTCGTTTTCGATAACCTCCAAGAATCTCCGTCGCTGATTTCGAATCTGTACTTCGTTTCCATCTCAAGTATGCAGACGATCTTGAATCTCTTGGTGGTTCTAGATGGATCTACCACGAAACTAACGCACATCGCTCTCTCTGTACGACGAACAAGGGGACCATTGGGGTCATAAAGATCATACTTTTCGACACCACCAACTATGTGAGGCAGAAGCTTTGAACCAGAGTGATTCAGGATTCGAAACTTTTTTGTCAAGGGATTTGCGACGAAGAGATGACCAATGTATAGTAGGAGAAGGCCGGAACATGAGCCAAAAATGTAACATCGGTCGTTGATGAACCCTGCTATGTATTCTAATGACACAGAATCACGTGAAGAGACCAAAGGCTGGCAGACGACGAGAGATCTGTCAGAGGTCGAAAGGTGAATCAAATTGGGTCTGACCCATGAAGGGTATTGAGGTCCAAATCTTGGGTCAGTTAAATACGATTTGATAGATTTGTTTGTACATCGCATCATCGCCATGGATTTGGGTTCTAATCTGAAGAGAATCTCGTCGAGAAGATGCAAAGGTAAATCATTCATGATCATAGTTGAATCAAAGCAAGATTTTTTAGCTGTTGATTCGATTATTTCGAGGAAAAAAAAGATTCGATTATTTTTGTTTGTCAATTTCAGTTATTACTAAGGAGGTTTTAAATAGAGAACAAAATATAATTTAATGATCATTTCAAGAGACAATCTCACCATTATAAGAAAATTAAAGTTACCAATTTTAATAAAATTTTGATGGATTTTAAAAGATGATTTAAAACTCTAGATAGTCTTTGATGAAATCATGAAGATATAAGATATTATATAATTATAGTTTTCTTATCAAATAAGCTATTATATAGTTACTAATTTCAACAAAAGGTCAAAACTGTAACATCCAATAATAAGAAATATTTCTTAAATTCTAAATTTATTTCTTTAAAAAAGATTGAAAATTAATGATTAAATAACAATGGATTAAAGTTAAAGGTGAAATTCTATCAAAGTTGATTTAATATTTCACAATACATAATTGGATTTTTTTTATTTATTTTTGGACAGAGCACAATACATAATTGGATAACACTCCCAAAATCTCCAACATGTGAACATGGCACGTCATTGGTTGTTAGAATTTATATTACGGTAAAACTCTCTAGATATTAGGATTTGCCTCTCTCTCTCTCTCTTTTTTTAACATATGAATATTGGCATTAATGGAAAGATTGTACAAATTCTTTGTTGGAATGATTTTATGGTGAAATTCCGTAAATTAAGGTTAGACACGTTAGCATGTTCTACATCCCATCCTTATTTTTTGAACTTAAAAAAAGTACATCCTCAGAAGTTAAAATGTGGAATCATGTATAAATGTTTTTTTCTAGATATTAAATCACATGCTCGGAAGAAATGACTACTATGAGCAATATATTTTCCTGTCTAGATAGAAAATTACAGATAGACCGTCAAATTATTATTTCGATTGAGAAATAATATAAAAAAGATGTATATAGCTCAATTGAGAAATACACACGAATTAAGGTGAAAAAGTGGACAACAGAAAGAAAACAAAACTAGATAACTTATTGTGATAAATATTAGGGGGTTTGTATGAGTGTATTAGTCATCAGCATCAGTCACCCTAGTATTCAATTGCCGAAACGTCTCACAGAAGTGCTATTTTGTTGGACTGAATGTCACTTCCATTCCTACAAAATGTTTTGTATGCGGTACGACCAAGGTTCCCTAAAAACAGATCAAAAAGTATAGAAAGGAAAAATGGGATGAGAGAGGAGCCCAAAAATGAATTGAAGTGAGAGCTAAATTGGTGAGTTTTTTTTCTTACCGAATCATCTGTTATGGCCTTAAAACAGGATAAGTCGTCATCACATTATTAGCAATGTTCAAAAGTGACTGGTCTTGTCCTCGAGGATAATAAATCATCTCAGATCAACGTCCTACAAATATATATGACAAAAAAAATAAAGTAAAAAGAAAGATGATTTGAAACTGCACACCCTTAAATAGATTATCCTACCAACTTTTCTTCAGCTATATATATTACCTTGCGAATGTTGGAATCAAATCCATCTTCAGAAAAGGTATGAATCCCTAGGCCAACATTTATGATATGGAGTGATCCCTCATTTCCAGGACTTACCGAGACATGAACCATTGTTTCAGAAGCCAAAACACTAGGTGCAACTTCAACCCAAATGATCTACCTTCCTCTTCCTCCAATTTCTCTGCAAACTGAAGTGGATCCATTGTGGACTGCATAACCAAAGAAAATCCCGTGAGATCCCCAAAACAGAAAAACAGAGAACAAAAAAACAGAACATTTATGTATCAGAAAACACACTAGTTATACCTTTAAGAAACGACCAACCAAGGCACTTCCGTATTGAGATCTGTTTTAATTTTCTTGTATAATGATCACTTATGTGTACATGTGGAATCATTAAGACTTAGCATACCCAAAAAATAAGTGAAAAGAGATTTCTTGTGACACAAGTATGAAGATTTGCATAATATTCATACTAAAAACTTGATCACTTTCGTCATGGACATGTGAAATTAAGAACAGGGACTAGTCTGCTTAATTTCTCTAGGAGTTTTGCTTTTTCTTGATTTCAATGTTATGATAAATGTTAGTGCGTCTGCTTTTTCTTAATTTCTATATGTTCTTGTCTTTTCTAAACTCATACGTTCTTGTTTTTTTTCTTGCTTAATACCCATAAATGTTCTTTGCTTTTTCTTGATTTCAATGTTTTTGTTCATTTCTTAATTACGTTTCTACTATTTCAGAAGTACTAGCTAGAGTCTAGAGTCACTATGGAAAATACGATGTGGTGTCAACGCTTTTTAAAAAGTAACAACGGTTCTTGACGAATTGCTTAATCAGGATTTCCAAAAAGACTATAAGTTAGCCCAATTGTCTGCATTCACTCTGCAAAATATGGCTTGGTGTTATCACCGGAATTGAGAATACATAAATTAAGTTGGGAAAAATAGCTCAAGAATTGTATAATATGGAAAATATAAAGTGACCTTTAAGTTGCCATAGGATTAAGTCTTAGAAATCAACTATTTTATTTGCTTATATCATGTTCTTTTTTTTTTTGTGCACCAATCAAGCATAATGTTCATAGACTAGAGATATAGTGTGACCAAGGAAATAGGTTTTCCTGAATCTTAACAATGTTAATTAGAAAGATATATTTACAGCATCAACAAGATTTTTTACTCTAGATACTAATATTCGGATGCTGCCCAATGTTTCTTTGTAACTCTACTGGATGTTGAAAGCGAAGTCGTGGGTGGTCCATGTACCATTCTCCTCCATGTACCTCTCAAAGAGCATCACTTCTCTAGTGCGTTTCACAACCAATGCTGTCGTACTTGTTGTTCCAAAGCGTAGCATTCCAAGCTGAATCGAAATGGGAAAAAAGGATATTTATTAAGGGATATATAGTGAGGATCATAAAAAAACAGCAGAGAAATTTCTTACTTCTCCAGAGGGATGCTTATCTCTAGTTTGGAGAAACACTGCGTCTCTTCCTCCTTCAGCATTATACATAAACCTCCCAGCAATCTCCTTCATCTGTGGTTGTGTTAGAAACAGAGATGATAGGACAGAGGTAATACCACACTGTCGTTGTAACAAGTGTGTCGAACAGAGAACAGAAACAGAGAACAAGAACTGTTTAGCTGAATGATACTTTATTCTCTGAATCACTTTCAGATGTCTCTGATAACTTTCTCAGAATGAGACTACATGCTTATATAGAAAAGAAATGTAACTGCACCCATTAAACCCATGGACTCATTATGTCCTACATTAAACATAAAATTGAAACCCCCAAATTGATTGTAAAAACCAAAACTGACAAATGTGACTTTACTCACATTAACTCCCCTGTTTATTGCTGTTTGAATCACATTTCAACACTCTCCCTTGATTCAAACTTGCACACTCCAAGCTTACTCCTGAAGTACTCAAACTTGCTCTTTGACAATGCCTTTGTCAGAACATCAGCACTCTGCTCGTTGGTG